TTATGTATATTTTACCTTCTGATCAGAGTTCATTCTTATTAAGATCCAAAGGAGTTAGTGAGATGTTCTTGCAAAGTTTTTCTATCATCCAATTCAAGTTCATTGTCTTCAAGATTCCAAGAAGTTAGCGAGGTATTCTTGCGAAGTATATTCATTAATATTTTTTCCTTCAAATCTAAGATTATTTTATTTTAAAATTATTTAATAATAAAAAATTAAATAAAAAAATAATTAATTGATATATTATGTACATTAAATGTTCAATTTTTTTTTTTGTTTATATAAAAAAAAATATATATATCACTTCTTCGATTCATATGTACTGTAAAAGTTCATATACAAGATTTCCAAAATAGTAGACCCACCATAAGCTAGACCTAGTCGAACCACAGAATCTTTATTAATTAAATACGGTTTTTTTTAAATAGCAGAATACCTATTAAAAATATAAAGTATACATGCACTTTGAATTTTTTCTTTTTATGATATAACCTCTGGGCGAGTACTACATAGACTCTGGGTCTACTAAAAAGTTTAAAAATTGGTGAAATAAAATAGACCCGGATCTTGTACATGAACTTTTACAGTAATTTAGCCTGATATGTAAACCTTTTTGCATAATTAAATTTTTTCTGCATAATTAAAATTTTAATTGCTTCAATGAAGTCCACAAATGGAGCGCTAATGAATAGTATCCATTGGTTCAATTCAGAGCTTTATTTGCCCATTTGCGGACTCCATTGAAGCCAGTACTGAACTATAACCTATTATAGTTGGCCAATCTACTGGCATAATGAACAATGTCTATTGATATTTTTTTCAAGCCCATCATAGTTCATCCTACCTCAATAGTATACCGTATTTTCATATAATAATGCCAATAAGCATTATTTTGAAATCATATAACTCAAAATAACATATATGGCTTCAAAATAATGCTTATACGCACTCTTAAATAATACGTATAATTGGATCAGTATACATGAGCCAATTGTAAATATCTTTTTATATCGAACAATCAGCCTTTAACTCAAAATATTATATATACATGTACTTAAAATACTTAAATAATATACAGGTGGGCATTATTATACAAAGATATGGTAGTATGCACCTAAAACTTTTGGGTAGGTTTTGTTTGAATACGTAACTGACAAATGTATGTATAATCAACATCAATCAAGATTGATTGATTCTCTAGACAATATTAATGATACGTATCAATTATAAATACGCATATACGTAAGAAGACTTAATCAGATTATATTTTCTTTAACTTTTTTGACACGTATATATACCTCAACAAACTTGTAAATTAAATACCAAAAATAAAATAAAATAAAAATGCCAAAGCCAAATAAACATACAAGACAAGCTCGACAAGCTGCTACCATGAAATAGAAAAATAAATTGTCAGTTAAATCGACCAATACTGCTTCCAACAAAAGTTATGAACCTATAGCACTTAATCCTATCAACAAAAATTGGTCTATAGTATCGAAACTTGCTTCTTTATCATATAAGACCCTTGACAGTAGTGTTAATGATGATAATTCTATATTATCATCACTAGATGCAAATTGAAAACAAAAACTGTCGATATAAATCTCAATACAACAAGACAATTTCTTCATCTTGTGAATAAAGAGTATACAAAGATGATAGCAAGTGAACTTCTGGCTAAGAGTTTGGGTAAAGGCCCCATGGCATGCTCAGCGTATTTGTATCTAGGCAAATCAATTGAAGAATAACAAAGAATTAACAAAATCAAAACGTAGTAAACATATAAAAACAAAATCATTTATTCATAATAAAGGTTTTCGATATTAAATAAATCAGTATTTGGAGGAAAATAAATTTAAATTATCTATTCCAAATTTTATGAGTTATGTTAGTTATATTATACCGCTTTTAGAGTTATAAGTAAAACCATTAGCAGATCAACTGTGTATAGATGGCTAAAATTGCTTAAATAAAGATACCAAACCCAACCAAAAAAGATTTATTTTGACAGCCACGAATGTGAAGATGTGGTAGAGTACAGAAATAATTTTTTGCAAGAAATGGCTAGGTTACGAAAACAAATAGCCAGATATGAAAGTAAAAATTTAAACCATATCCTGCCAAATCTTCTTCCTGGTGAGGCTGAAATTGTTCTTGTCACCCAAGATGAAACCACTCTTTATGCAAATGATGGTGTGAAACAATATTGGAGCCCGAAGGATAAATATAGTCTATGGAAAAAATCATTAGTAAGAATCAGAATTAACTAACATTTTTAGTCAGCTAATCAGCCAACTAAAATTTTTAATTATTAATTAAAATATCACGTATCAATTAGCCATAATCTCTGATTACTATACCAATATCACTAAGATTAATGAATAATATCCTGAACCATATGTGAATAAGCAAAATCTTTGTTTCTGCTAATCCCAATAGACCAGATTATCATGCAAACTCTTATGATCATAGATTTTTTCTTCTTGTTATTTTTTGTATATTATTTCGTAAGCACAACAATCCCAAATTAAAACTTAGTTAGCCAACTATAACTCATAAATCATGATCATAATTGCACGATAACATATTGGATCATGCGATGATAAATATAACAAAATTTGTTCTGTTAGAGCAAATGATTGGATGAAACATGCTGCTACACAGCATATGTCAGCTAATCATTTGCTCTGACAAAACAAATTTTATGATATTAATCGTTGCATAGTCAATATATTATACATATTATTATTTCTAATATTTTAGTAAGTTGGCTAAAAACATTTTTTGACTAATTTTTGATTCCTATCTTTGATCACAGGGCTCCAGTATTCATATTAGTGATTTTGTCTGTGAATCTATCGGGCGTCTCAAACTTTCAGACTATGAAATTGGTATAAATGACTTACTTTCTGATTCTATGTGTCTCAAATATACCGAAGCAGGTGTTGCTATCTATTCAGACATAAATCATGATAGTTGGTGGATATGCGATGATTTAGTTAATCAGGTAGTTGAATGTGCTATACCGATATTTGAACGAATACATCTAACAAAATAGCTCTATTCATGTTTGATAATAGTAGCAATCATAGTTCATTTGCTAAAGATGCCCTTTTGGTCTTGCAAATAGGTATGAAAGATGATACAAAAAAACCACTTCTTCATGATAATACAATACCTAATAGTTCCAAGTATATAATGATTTATATAGACAATGCTAATGTAAAAAGGCCTAAGAGAATTAAATGGGTTCTTGAAAAAAGAGGTTTATGATACCAGGCCTTATAATAGGTTGATTATAATATTGGCTGCAGTTTTGTAAAGAATATTATAATTTTGAATAGTTTGAATTAGTGATCGAGGAATTAGATCTTTGAGAGTTGGCTCTATATAGTAAGAATAAGGCTAAAGAGCTATATTATAAAAAGCTTCATGTCTATAGATTTTTTGAATTAGATCTTCTAGTTTTTTATGGGTTATATCAAGTTCAGTTGAGTGAAGATAGCTTGAGATTGTAGGTAGAAGTATTTGGTGCAGTATAGTAGGGTTAGCACAAGTATGCCAGTGTGATGAAGAGTCAGATAGGCTGCAGTAGAAGCATTTATCACTATGAAAGATTTTAGGATATATTGTATGGTGGAGTGAGTAGATAGAAAGTTCATTAAGTAATATTTTAATTTTAAAGAACTTAAGTTGATTAAGTTTGAAATTTGTGAGGTTGTATAAAAGTTTTTGATTATAATTAAAATAGAGCCATGTAAATCTCCAATCTATCTGCCGATTTAAAAAAGACTATTCATTGTTTTGTTTTTGAGATGACTATATTGCTAGATTGTGGACTTTGCAAATTGTTTTTACAAAATATCTAGTAGGAAGATCAACTGGATATTGTTCTTCTTCCCATTGTAGAAAATGAAATAGGTTATAAATATTAGTATAATTAAGTTCTAGTGATTTTTCTGATACATGTTGTTTAGCTAGTGAATTAGCTCGGTTATTAAATGTATTGTCAGAATGGGCCTGAATTTTGTAAAAAATAAGCTGTATATTAAATGATTTGATGAAGTTAAGAAGTGTATACCATATAGACCATGCATTGAATTTTAAAATTTTGTTAGGGTTAATAGTATTTGTGTTGAGCTTAATAAATTTGGAAATAATAGATTGTGAATCTGTATAGATATTAATAAGAGAATTATGTAAAGTAGTTAAGATAGCTGATAAGATAGATAAAAGTTCTGCTTTATATGAGGTTGGCTATAGATGAATCTTGGCAAAAAATTCATTAATTATTTGATTATTATCATCTACTTGGACCTAGCCTATATCTATAGAGCACTGGTTAGTACCTATATCGATAACGGATCTATCAGTATAAAAGTTAAAATTGTTGTATAAAAAATTGATTAGTGGGATTTCTATTAGTTAATTTGTTTTGTTACTTGAGTAGAAGATTTCAGATACAGCAGAGTAGTAAATAGGGATAGATGGTAGCATAGGTGATACTGAGGGTGATAGTGGGTATTTTACTGCTGTAAAGAAAATAAGGTCTATATAGTTAGCATTGAATTTAAAAGAGTTAGACAAAACTCTTCCAAAAAATTGTATAAATGTGATAGCTGATATGTTGATAGTGCAGACAGAGGTTATTCTGTTTGAATTGAGATAGCAGCCAGTACATAGGCTACAAATAACAGGTAGAAATAGATAGTATGCCATATGTTGGGTATTAATATTCATTTGCTAGTAGGTAATAGAGATTTCATAAAAATTTGTAAGATATGTACAGATTTTACCAATAATAATTTCATTGTCATTAAAAGAGAGTAGCCAGGGCTTTAATTTTTTGGAGATAT